GATTCGAATAATACATATATCAAATTACCTTGATGAGATGAATTATAAACATTTAAAGGAGGAAATCGTTGAATTTCTGAGTAATCTGATTTACTGCTTGTGATTCTGTCGATGGGGGTTGATTTAAGGATCGATTCGGTGGATTGGGGTTGTGATGAACATTGCGAAAATCCTGACTTTGATAATGAACATTTCTATTAGTAACGACGGAAGCATTGACAGTGGACTGCGATAAACCTTGTTGTCTAATATTATTATTGTATTGCCTCTTTCTACATTCGCTAATCAGATGTCCAAAATTTTTGCAATAATTGCACTGTTTAATTGTCATATTTATGGGTCGATTAACAGTTTGAGATCGATTATAACCTTGAGACTGATTGAAATTATTTACTTCCGGTCTTGGAAATCTGGCATTTGAATTAATGAAACCCGATGGATTCATTGGCCTGTGCGAACCACTATAACTATTTCCCCGTGAATCTAATGGTACAGAATTTCGGTTTCTATTCTGATAACAATCCCTGGTACTATGATTAGTTTTGAAGCAAATTTTACAACCACACGTTTGTGAATTAAATTTTACAACCACGCGTTTGTGAATTATCGTAACTTAACCGTAACGCCTATTCTTCTGCGACCGCGGCTGTGAGTGCGTTATTTACAGTATCAAATTGCCGATATCTAAGCATTTGCGAGATTTGCGGGGGACTATAATAAATAAATCTATTTAATGTGAGCTCTTCTATCATTGATAATCGTCCTTTTAATAAATCATCTTCTGAACTTGTTGCATGAACAGCGCCTAAAATCCTAGATGCGAGATCCTCTAATCTTTGATAAAATGGCTGCGTAACAGTTCAACCGACGACAAAATAACCGCGCCAAAATAACCGACGACAAAATAACCGAACGACAAAATAACCGAATAACAAAATAATCGTTCAACACTATAACACTACATATTAATTATATTCAACCAACATATTTATTATCTAACCTAACCTAACCTAACCAACACGGTTATTTTGTCGTTTGGTCATTTTGTCATTCGGTTATTTTGTCGTTCGGTTATTTTGTCGTTCGGTTATTTTGTCGTTCGGTTATTTTGTCGTTCGGTTATTCTGTCGTTCGGTTATTTTGTCGTCGGTTATTTTGTCGCGGTTATTTTGTCTGCGGTTATTTAAGCGTGCTGCCGATAAAATTGAGACACGCTCTCATTTCGTTCTTGAGCCGATAAAATTGAGACACGCTCTCATTTCGTTCTTGATATATACTACTAAACTCTTAAAACATTTGATCTATTGACTTCCTATCCTGATATAATCGCATCAAAAGTCCCGAAATTTAAGACCAAGTGGTTAAATTGCAATGAACATCAATTTGTTCCCTAGCTTTACCCGTAATGCGACTTCTAACGAATAATAGCAATGCTGCATATTACTCAGGTTTTGCTAATTCAAAAACTCCATCAATCTGCTTGATAAAACTTCGGAGCTTGAATCTATCCCCATCAAACGTGTCTGGTATTAAACGTATTAAAAATTCTAAGTTAAGTTTTTCGGTTTCCATACTTGTAGATTCCGTAGGCTGAGACATATTCGTACGATTTGTATTGAGTATTTTGAATTTGAACTTGAATTTAGTGAATTAAGCAAACAAACTTCGACTTAGGAATATAGGATTATGATTTGGAATTCGTCCTTACAATATCGTAGAAATTGAGAAATTATCTAAATTCGGTACTCACCATGCAACTTTTATTCTTCCTCCCGGTATGGTTTTACAACGGCTGCTGGGTCGAATTAAGTTCCAGAAACTTCAGACAAGTTGTAGTCCTTCCTTGGGGGTTGAACCGCTGATCCAAATTTAACAATATAAATTGTCACTCGCGCTCAGCGATGAATTTAATTCAAACGTTCAGCTGTCTACGCCAAGTGTTGATCAGAGATCCCACTTCTGACACCAAAAATTTTATGTTGGAGTTCCCGAATCAGGAGTAACTCGAATAGAATACAATAACCAATTTATTGTTCAATAATATTACAAGTTAAACCTTAATCTATTTCTCTAGTTTTTAAAAGTTGTACTTTACACGGCGAAGTTCGGATAAAATCTAATGAGAAACGGTGTTGAGAAGGAAAATGTAAACTATTGGAAGAAAACTATTGGTTGATATTTTGGATAAGGGTGTGGGATCAGGAAAAGTCATTGGCTAGGTTATTTGCGAAGGAGGTGGCTTAAAAAAAGGTGTGATTTATTAGAAAATATGGAAGTGCTTTAGCGGGACCTTGGAAAAATCTTGAAGCTACAGGAAATTCTAAAGAGGCATGTTTTGGTGATATAAGACAGACAGGAAAGCGCAGAAAGTGGACAATAGGGTAAAGGAAATAAAGGAAGAGCCAGATGTAGAAGAGAAAGTCGGACGGTTCGTTAGGATTTCCAACACAGAACAAAGCCAAGATGTTGTTCTGCTGTAGATAAAAACCAGGTTGCAGCAAAGCGAGAATAAATGTTTTGAATTGCACGATGAGTTTGTGTATAAAAAGGTTACAAATGCAAAGTTGCTACTTTGTGTGCCTGCGTCTATGGAGGTCAACAGGACACCCCGGGATAGATAAGATTGTCGATAACATTACAAGATTATAATGATTGCCGAAGATCCATGAAAAGGTAAAATTTTATATTTCGAATTGTTTAAAGTATATCGAATACTCTCCCACTACTGGTAGGAAAGAAGAGTACCTGTATAGTTTGTTGAAGCATAATGCACTGTTCCACACGATTCATGTGGATCATTGGTGTCCGTTTGAAAAAACAAGACATGGGTACAAATATATAATATCGATGCTAGACGTGTCTGTAGCGTACCGATGCTTCGTCTCGAATTATGGTGTGCCGATACATTGTCCGAATATTGGCACATCGAGATACTTTGTATCGGCTTGGGTTTTTTCCGTGACCGTTATTAGCAACGGTCATGCGACGTACTTTTGGGGGATAGGAAATTTCCCAAAACCGTTTCACGGGGCGATTCGCTTTTGTTTTATAGGGGTACGCGTGGCAACGAGCGTAGGCCTCGTGGCATTACGAATCACGACTCTTGACTGACAAGGGACATCACCAAGGTGTTACACGCGGATTTTAATGAAATTTACATATGTGGTAGCTTTTCAAAAATCATTTGACACGTATTTTTTTATATCTGCGGACATGCATGTTGAGGGGGTGAAAATAGCCCTCAAAGTTCGGGGTTGAAAACACATTTTCTTTAATATTTCGGAAACTAGAGGGTGTAGGAAGGTGAATTTTTTTTTAAATTGTATAGTTTTTAGTCAGGAATTTAGTTAGTGACAAAAATTTCGGGAGAAATTATTTATTTAAATAATATATTAAAAAAATGCACTTTTTTTTCAATTTTTCATCATAAATGCAGTTCGATTTTTTTGCAGCTTTGTATACTAAAAATATGAATCAAAATAGGGGATACGTGTTTTTGAAATTTTTTGTTTATTACAATTTAACAATAATTATTACATATACAATTTTCTCTTACTTTTTACGGAGAAATAATTTGAGATTTGTTTTCGAAGAGGGTCAGCCCTTTTTATGCGATAATCTGTTACGTTTTTAACAATTAGACAATATCAGATGTTTATTGTGCCATCGGTAGCCAGGGAAGGTCTAACGGGCAGGTATAAATCCGCTGCGGTACCAGTCGTTGCTTTACGGAACATAGGTTTCTATGGCCAATGAAACTCTTTACGAAAATTATTTCAAAATATACTGTTGCAGGAAAGTGGATATGAATAAGTATATGGTAATTGTATTATTGTTTCCCTTTTTGAACAT